CACCATTTGTTGATCAGAATTAGATCCAAAGTTGCAGTTTGTTCAACTTTCTGTGAGATTAATTTATCAGAATGTCAAGGACAAAGTGTATCAGAGATTCTAGTTTCAGTTGAAACTTCCAGCAAATATATAGGTATTTGATCATTCCCTCTTTATTTCTTCTCCTTTTGTCATTTTGTGATCACCCACTGCCTTAAACTGTCCAGACAGTGTCAGGTGTGTCTCCCAAATGATAGCTTGTCAGTTGCCCTCTTCTTTCCTCTGTACCCGAATGCTCTGCCATGGCTACCTCTGGTGTGCCATGGAGCGTGTACCTTTTCCATGTGCACATGGGGCCATTGCAGCTCTGTATCCAACTGAGCTGTTCCATTGAACAATATTTTATTTGAAAGCCCTATATCACAGTCTCAGAAATGTGTTTTTGTCCTTGACTTAAGTCTCTAACTAATTTGGTCTGGTAACTGCATTCTGTGCTTTGATAAGTAGGCATCTGAAGCTCTGTAACATCTTTCCAAACATCATCTCAGTGATGTCTGGTTGGAATCCTGGGCCTTCCTGCTATTGTTGTTCTTTCTATGAGATTTCTGATGTCTTCTGCAGTTAACAGTTTAACAGCTTCATCCGGACATTTTTCTAACTTCATATTCTGTTTAAAGGCTTCATTATTTGGTCAGCTTGTCTCCAGGCAAATGTGTTTGCCAATCCTTATGAGATGCTCATGTATATGTATGTGGGTGTGTGTGTGTGTGTGCGTATTGGGTTTTCTTATTATTAAAAAATTTAATTATACATATTTATTTAGAAGTTAGAGAAAACCTAAATATAATCCAAGAATTCAAAGAAAGTCATTAATATTATTGTCTATATGTGTTTTTCCCCCTAGATACCAAAATATAAGAAATATTATTTTGGTATAGTAAGCTTTCATCTAGAAAATAAAATCGTTTTCTTCAGCAACAATTATGTAATTAACTGTTTTTATATACTCTCTAAATTCTGTTAAAAGATAAACTGGGGTATATTTTACAAATTTATAGAGTTTATTTGAGCAAATATCTATTAAAATCAGGCAGCGCCCAACCAGAAGTGGTCAGGAGAGCTCACCAACAAGAGTCAAAGGCAAAACTTTTATAGAGAAGACAGGAAGCAAAGCCAGGAAATTATTTGATTGGCTATAGTTTGAGCAGTTGCCTTATTTGGGAAAGCCTAGTTGGCCGTTTGTGATTGGTTGTCCTTAGGTTTTGATTTCTTAACCTTGAGGCATTGACAGGTTTAGGTTTTGGTTTGCTACTGCAGGCTGCTCAGTGATGGCGAACCTTTTGAGCTCGGCGTGCCAGCATTTTCAAAAACCCTAACTTAACTCTGGTACCATGTCACATATAGAAATTTTTTTGGATATTTGCAACCAAAGTAAACCAAAGATTTATATTGTTGATATTTATTTTATATATTTAAATGCCATTTAACAAAGAAAAATCAACCAAAAAAATGAGTTCGCGTGTCACCTCTGACACGCGTGTCATAGGTTCGCCGTCACTGGGCTAGAAGCACCTCAGTGTAATGGCCGCTAACTTAATTTAGCAGTTTTAACCCTCACATCAGAAGAAGAGAAGAAACCACCTCTACTGCACCACTCTACCCCAAGTGCTTCCATCCCCCACCCCGCCTTCCTGGTCTGGGGATGCTTCAGGAGTCTTCTCTGACATTGACAGTCCTTCCCAGAGGAGTCAGCAGGAGTGGTGTTGGTTCTCGGCCACATCCTTATTGTTCCTGAAAGACAGCATTTTTACAAGAGGTCTCAACATTTAGTGCCTCAAACCTCCCACCCAAATTCCTGATGACTCTCCTTTGAGCTAACCACAGGTTTTCTTCAATCAATCTGCTAATGTTTGAGGACCTTTGCTATTATTCTCAGTTTTCTTAAGAAGAAGGACCATCTGGTTTTTAATAGCCCATTTTCTTCTATCCTGAACACATGTCCTTGAAGTCCCTATGGATCACTCTTTGCTCACATGGTCTTCCTTTCTCTCCAGTTTTTATTTTGCTGTCAAAAATGAGATGGCCTGGCATGGCTCAGTGGTTGAGCGTCGACCTATGAACCAGGAGGTCACGGTTCGATTCCCAGTCAGGGCATATGCCCAAGTTGCAGGCTCGATCCCCAGTGTGGGCTGTGCAGGAGGCACAATCAATCTGCTAATGTTTGAGGACCTTTGCTATTATTCTCAGTTTTCTTAAGAAGAAGGACCATCTGGTTTTTAATAGCCCATTTTCTTCTATCCTGAACACATGTCCTTGAAGTCCCTATGGATCACTCTTTGCTCGCATGGTCTTCCTTTCTCTCCAGTTTTTATTTGGCTGTCAAAAATGAGATGGCCTGGCCCGGCCGGCATGGCTCAGTGGTGGAGCGTCGACCTATGAACCAGGAGGTCACGGTTCGATTCCCAGTCAGGGCATATGCCCAAGTTGCAGGCTCGATCCCCAGTGTGGGCTGTGCAGGAGGCAGCCAGTCAATGATTTTCTCTTATCACTGATGTTTCGCTCTCTCTAGCCCTCTCCCTTCCTCTCTGAAATCAATAAAATATATTTTTTTAAAACTTAAAAAAATGAGATGGTCTGTGGGCTTCACCATTTCATTTTCTTAAGGACAAGCCCATCCATACTTCCTGGTAAGTGGTTGGAGTACTGCTGCTGCCCCGGCCAACAGCTGGGACTCAGACTAGGTCTGGACAGTGCAAATCTGCACGCAGAGTTTGGCTCATAGTGACCTTGGTGATCAGCAGCCCTGGGTCAGTGTGTCTGCTCTTGCCGTCCATTGCACAGAGTAAACTGCTTCTACAGACGTTGCCTGTGCAGAAGTCACAGAAAAGTAGGGGCTTGGTTCTAGTATAACCCCTTACTAGCAGTGTGATTCTAGGCAAACTTAGGGAGATTTAGGCAATGAGAATAGCATTGATCCTATCTCATCAGGTGGATGGGTGTGAGGAATACATGTGGAAATCTTTATAAAATGCATTAAGATTTTTGAATCCAGTGGTATTTAACCATCTCTAGAATATCATATGGCCTTTCCCTCTTTCTGTGCACGTTAAAAAAAATGCTTTCCTGCCTCCTCTCCCACTTCCAGACAGCACCCCCTCCACCCCCTGCTCATTCTCTCTCCCCTGACCCTGCTTTATTTTTCTACAGAGCACCAGTTTCACAGCCATGATGGTGTCTGTCTAGAGAATGTAAACTGCTTGTTGTCTTGCCCACCACTGTATTCCCAGAGCCTGGCACATTGTTGGCTCATACATGACAGTCATATCTGTTAAGAGAATGAGTGATTGTTACTAGACAGTCGTATGAATTAAATTTTTGAAATTCCTTACCTAAGAACAGTGACTCTGATTATTGGGAGTCTGACTGCATAGATTTTTGATGACCAATGGCCTGGAAGACTATTTACCTTTCGATACTTTCTCTGTACATCTGAGGGCAGGGAGAGGAATAAGAGGAAGACTCAGGGGTAGAATGTGGTTAATTGGCTGTTGCTCGTATGAAATTTATTTTTGCTTGGGAAGGAGCTTTGACTTGATGTTTCCCATATTGTACTCACTTTGTGTCATGTGACTAATAGGAAGTTATTAAGTTAAGGTTCAGAAATTATTTTTATATGTAAAATTATTCTTTCTGTTATCTGGTGATTATTTTCTGGCCCAAATAGTTGTTTCCCCCCTCCCCGTTTTTTGTTTTGTTTTGTGTTGTTGTTGTTTTTTTGTCTGCGAAGCCATTTTAAATCATCAAATCTTCTGACGAGAAAATGATGACCATAACATTATTTCGTCTATGAATAATTTCTTGGGAAACCCACAAGAGAAGAATTATTAAGGTTTATGTTCAAAGATATGCGCCCCCTTTTATGCATGCTCACATTACATTTAAAAAACTGCTGAGATGTAGTCTTTATTAATTCATCTGTAGTTTTCTGCCCCTGGATTTTGAAAAAACAAAGACTCCGGGAGATGATAAGTATCTGAGTTTGCAAAATGATCTCTTTCATGTGCACCTTGTTCTGCTAACGTAGAAAACATCGGAATATGATATTAAAAGCACAGCATCTGGGAACAGGGCAGCATCTTTGCCATGTGAATACCCAGCCCCTACTCGCGCACCCCGCAACAGCACCTAATCCTCCACCGGCTGCTCCTCGGATCATCGGCAGCGGCTGATGATGAGAACACATCCCGAGAAGCCATTAGCACAATCTGTATTTAATGTGTTTAATCATTTTAGATGAACCCAGTCATCTTTCTTCTTAATCACTTTAGAGGCTGTTCCCTGGGCGCCCTTCAGTTAACTGATATTTTTCTGAGTGCCCAGACTGAGCTTTTAAAGAAACATCTTTAGCTGAGGCTTGCTGAGATTGCAGTTTATCAATGGACTTGATGTTCTCAGTAGGTCTGTGGGGGTCCGGGGATTAGAGAGTGCTTTCCTGCATCCTGGCAGAAACAGCTGGAAGCTGAGGCTGGCTGCTGCTTTAGATGTGGAGCCAATGAATGGTATTCTTTCCCTGCCCATTTTCCGGCCCCCCAGACCTCAGGCTCCTTAAAAAAGTGTGGCAGCAGCTCCAACAGGCTTCCATCAGCCCACTTCATTGGCCATTGTGTAGAGCAGTGGTTCTCAACCTTCTGGCCCTTTAAATACAGTTCCTCATGTTGTGACCCAACCATAAAATTATTTTCGTTGCTACTTCATAACTGTAATGTTGCTACTGTTATGAATCGCAATGTAAATATCTGATATGCAGGATGGTCTTAGGCGACCCCTGTGAAAGGGTCGTTCGACTGCCAAAGGGGTCGCGACCCACTGTAGAGGGAAGTCTTTATCGCCACTGGATGATCCAGAAATAGCCCCTTCCTTTAGCCCTGGGATGCGCTAAATATTTCCCTTCCTCCCACCTGCCTCATGCTCTTGCGGTCTTGGCCTCTCGGCTCAGGAGGTGCCGGGCTCTGCCCCAGGCAGGCACTGGGTGTGATGCACAGGCGTATGAGCTCCAGGCACTGCGCTCAAGCAGGTCGTCCAACTTTATAGGCTCCTTTATTGGAACGCATAGAGTAACCCGTTGGCAAATGTGAAGTTAGTTACATGAAGCAATAGCTAGGAAGGTGCGTTGAGGCCAGGCCTTAAAGAGAAATGCAAAAGGGTCTTCCTCTGGCTGGGGTGGGGAGGAAGGGGGTCCGCCATCGATGGATTGGCTCTTCTCGTCTGCAGCCCGCATTGGGCACGGACAGAAATGTCTTGCCCCTCCTCTGTTTCTGACCCAGGAGCCAGCACACACCGTGAGCCACGTTAGGATGGTAAAGGGGCCTGTGGCGCAGTCTCCCCAAGTGCCTTTCATTGTCTGATAAATGATTACGTTTGTCGCTTCCTTTTTTCCTGCCATTCGGTGTCAAATGGAACTATGTCATTATGGAGTCGAACTCTTCCCCAATGGATTTCCACTGGGTATGAACTGACTCATATTCCCAAGAAAAAGTTCTTATTGTTATATCTCCTTGTGGGCCCCTCATAATTCTATTTTTCTATTAGTGGACCTTAATAGTAATTCCCATTTGTCTATAGAGTTTTCTAAAGAATTGCTTCTATACGAAATGTTTTATTTTCAAGCCATGCATCCATTCAGATGACTTTATAATGTAGTTGACATCTTAGCAAAGCAATTTAAAAATGATGATTGTTACCTATGTTTAGTCATCAGAAAGAACATTGAGCCCTGGCCGGTGTGGCTCAGTTGGTTGAGCTTTGTCCTGTGCACTGAGAGGTCATGGTTCGATTCCTGGTCAGCACACGACAATGCTCAGTCCCCAGTAGGGGGCGTGCAGGAGGCAGCCAGTCGATGTTTCTCTCTCTCTCTCTTCCTCTCCTTCCCTCTCTCTCTAAAATCAATCAAAAAGTATTTTTCTTTAAAAAAAGAACATTGACATTTAAGGTTTGGAAATGAAGGGGAGCTGGCTCAAGATCTGGTTTTCCGAGAGGAGCAAAGAGCAAAGATGTCAAAAGAGACAAAGATTCAAGAGGGAGCTTCTGTGGAGTGCTATTGCCGGGGAAAATTCTTATTTGTACACTTACTTGCAAAAAGAGACACAGTGGTTTTTATTGTACTAAAGCTTTCTTTAACTCTTTGTAGAATTGCTTTTGGCTTTCTAAACAAGGAGATATTTGCACAATGGCAATGGTTTGACTTCTGTTGTTTTTGGCTTGTTAAATTTTATAAGGATGACATGTGAGAAGTAGGTTAGCCCTTAACTCTGATCAAGACATCACTATGATAAATATAAGAAGTCAAGTCTGGAGGTAGAGAGTAAAATGCAATTAGGTTTGTGTTTAATTCAGCATGCAAAAACTAGAGACAGGATAGGCCAAATTTCAGGGAATTAAATCCATAATCGGAGATCTCCATTTTGTTCTAAAAATAACTGCTTCTGCCTTCACCACATCTGAGGTATGAATCGGTGAGTTTTTTTGTTTTACATCTTTTTCATCTGCTTATCCTACCTCAGTAGAAGGTAGTGATAGTGATGAACAATGGAATACCCCAAACAAGTAAAAACTTGCAGGCAGAAAGGGAGAAGAAAGAGAAGCAAATGGTCGGGTTAATACCACTCAGAATTGACAGGTAGATCTTGGATAACCAAATAGCCACAGGAATAATTTTAAAAGATCAAACCAAAAGTTGAAACTGTAGTGCCCTACAGATTAGAACACAATGGTACTGTCAGTTTTCAACTAATGCCCTTTTTTTTCTTTTTCTAGAAAGAAAGAAAGGGTTTGTTGAAGTTGCTTTCTGGCGCCTCCACCAAACGGAAGCCCCGAGTGTCCCCTCCAGCCTCACCCACCCTGGAAGTGGAGCTGGGTGGTGGCGGTGGAGGCTGCAGCGAGTTGCCTCTGCAGGGAGCAGTGGGTCCCGAGCTGCCGCTAGGGGGCGCCCACGGCAGGGCGGGCTCCTGCCCCATGGATGGAGATGGTCCCGCCCAGGCGGTGGCTGTGGGAGCAGCTCTGGCCCAGGAGGTCCTTCATCGCAAGACTAGCTCCCTGGACTCTGCCGTTCCCATCGCCCCACCTCCACGACAGCCGTGCTCCTCCCTGGGCTCCGTCATGAATGAGTCTAGGCCTGTTGTGTGTGAAAGGTGAGTTCAGTGTTTTTCCAGCAGAAAACTAAGAAATGCATGGCAAGCTTTATGCTGGCATATTTATCCTGACATTTAAGATATTTTCCCACATCCTCCCCTCCGTTTTTTTGAACTAAGTATGTAACCAAGCGTTGGCTTTCTTTTACCACTTGCTGGAACATACTCTAGTCCAGTGATGGCGAACCTATGACACGCGTGTCAGAGGTGACACGCGAACTCATTTTTTTGGTTGATTTTTCTTTGTTAAATGGCATTTAAATATATAAAATAAATATCAAAAATATAAATCTTTGTTTTACTATGGTTGCAGATATCAAAAAATTTCTATATGCGACATGGCACCAGAGTTAAGTTAGGGTTTTTCAAAATGCTGACGCGCCGAGCTCAAAAGGTTTGCCATCACTGCTCTAGTCCCTGCTTTTCCCTCCTGTGTGTCTTTCACGGGTGTAGGCCTCCCGCCTTCTTTTTGTGTATTTTCTTCAGACAACCAATCCAGAATGGTACCTTGGATGGAATTCGTCAGTCACTGGAAACTTGTTCATATCTATCCCTTCTTCTTGCTTCTCTTCTGTCGCCAGCAATTGCGCCCTTGTGTCATCCTTTGCCTTTTTTCACTAGTACCTGCTACTTGTAAAGCAACCAGAGAATTCCGCCAACTAAGAGGATTCTCTTTTTATTCTTCCTGAGCCAGAAGAGAGTGGCTCTGTTCTCGAGACCTGCCACCCCTCCGGACCCAGGGTCTTGGCTCAGCTACACTCCGAGCAATGAACCCTGTTTGAGCGATTCTGGCCTTGAATAACAATTACAAATGTGAGCAGATCTGTCACTGGAAGTCTAGGAGTGCATTAGGAAAGAAAATATACGTAGTCAGACAAATATCTGCTAGGATTCTATGAACTGAAAATGAAGCACTGTTGGTGCCACAGGAAAACATCGTGAAATACACTAAAAATAGCGGGCTGTTTTCACATAACGCATAAATATATGAACATTTTTTTCAGAGTGTCACCTGGTTCATTGTTTCTATAAGCTTTAGGCCCTGTGGCCCTGTATTTCATAAGTAAAGCAGATTTCTCATTTGTGGTGAGATGGTGCCTTTTAGATAGCATTTCCTATTGTGGATTCAAAATCTTACTATCCAGGTGTTCCGCTTTAAAATGACTTAAATGCTCCTAACTCAGTATTTCAGATGAACATTTGTACCCACCAAAATCTGAAGCCTTCATTCATATATTTTGGGGCATATATTTTTTTTTTCTACCCATAAATAAACTGCAAAAGAATAAACGTCAAACAACCTATGTACATTAAGTACAAAGTACACAATTTATTGTGTGTTTTTAGTGAGGCGAGGTAATTTTCTGTAATTGCAATCCTTATAAAACCAGTCTTTGCCCATCAGTGAAATCATTTGGCCCCTTCCCTGTCTGCTGTGCTCTTGGCGAAGCTTTGGGATTTTGTCCTGAATGCACGCCCTCCTTTATTCTGACAGCAGCCTCTTTTCCTGCAGCCTCACTCTGCTTTCCAGGGATGGAGCCTCTGTCCCTGGAGGGAGTCCAGCGACTTGTTTACTTTCTTTTGGCCACAAAGGCTCCTCCTCTCCCCACCCCCAGGCATTGAGCTGCAGTTTTTCCTTCGTGCCTTGAATCACTCTCTTCTTTTTCCTGTCATTTGGGGTGTTTGTGTGACTGTTCTGAGTGCTCATTCACTTTGCCCAGACTCTCCCTTGGCACTGGCCCGGGCACCGCTCTCCCGCCCCCTTTTATGTGTTCCTTTTCAGTCGCCAGATGTCCTCCATCTCTGTGGCTTCTGCACTCCAGCCCCTTCCTCTGAGGGGAGCTCATTTCTTGCAGCAGGCTCCCGCTGTTCAGTGCCGCTGAAAAGGGGAACAGACAGGTGACGGCGGTTCAGGGAGTGCGGGGCGCACATCAGAAGGGGAATTCGTAGACTTTGATGATGGGACAGATGGGCACGGGCAGTCTGGAATTCCCTGGCACTGTTTTTTATAGGACCATTTCCATTTTTTACAAGTAGGAAAGGGGCCTTTGGGGAAGATTTCTGCCCAAGTTTATATTTTTATAACCCACATGTTCAGTGGAATATTAAATGCAATAGCCTGACCAGCTTTTCACAGCCCCTTTTGCCTTCCTACCATGATGGCGATAATATTTATTTAACTTGGAGTCTTCGGTCTGCCTGGCTCTAACAACGAAGGGAAAAATGTGTGGAAACAAGTAGTAGGGGAAAACATCCTATTATTCACCGAGGATGTAATTTTTTTTGCCAACTGTATCATTTTAATATTTCAAAACTTTTAGCACAAAAGTGCTTAGTGCTAAAAATGAAGGGAAAATGTACTTTCCCATCAGTATGATTCAGAAAGAGTTTCAGGATCCTGGATTCCTTGATTCACAATCTAAATATTCACAACTCCTGCCCTAACAGTAGAGAATACCTGTGGTTCTCTTGGTAGAATTTTTACTGATAAAATTTCATGGAACTGTTTTTCAATGGATCGTATTGGCACAGTACGAGATAGGATCCAGCTGCAGATTATAATGAGAACAAGCATACAATTTCTTCTCAAACCCCATCCCATAGATCTCTAGAGGAAAAGACTGTGACTAGGGCAGCCAGCGCTGTCTGTCAGAGAAAGAAGCCTCCGCGTGATAGGAAGACTAAAAGAGTCTCACAGTGAGGAAGGAGGGACCGTGGGGTGTGTTGACAGGTCCTGGTGTCAGCTGAGAGGATTCTCTGAGGAACAAAAGGATTCTTTTGTGTTTGTCTGAGAGACTGAAGAAAACAAGCAAGAAATAACGCTCAATCCCGGAGGCAGCAAATGTATAATTGATGACAGCAAAAATAATAGAGCAAGTATTTGGGGCTCTACTTTCTTAGACGGATTGAGGGAAAAAAATAATCAGACATTGCAAACAGAAAATGGAAATAAAATATTTCAGAAGAGATGGCAAATAAAAGAAAGCATATATGACAGCTTTTTTTCTTCTAAAAAACACATAAATAAAGGGCTTAAGGAGACATAGCAAGTCATCTCTGTGTATATTTGTAAGTTTAGGAATTAAATTGATGACCACATACCTGTAAGCCCATCTCCTAAATTAGAAAAGAACCTGTGATCTTTGATCAGGGATTCAACGAAAATACTAGGAAACATACAAATTGGATAGATTGGATTTACAGAGAGGTAGTCAGCTTAACCAGCATGATCAATTTGAGTCGGTGACAATGAACCCACGGGGTGAAGCAATGGACATAATTTGCTTGGACTGCAAGCAAACTGCAGAGAGAGCTCCTCTGGTTTTGCTAGTAAAATACTTAATTGGCTGTTAGATTGTTATAGCAACTAACAGAAAGCAGTGAATGGTTACCCACCCAGACCAGGGTGATGGGCAGATGCTTCCAAGAGCCACCGGGGACCCAATTTGGGCTATACCAGGGGAGATTAGAAACAAAAATGTATCAACGACAGAGAATGCAAGAGAGGCTAGAAAAAATAAAGGAAATGGAAAATGTATACTAATAGAGATTGCAAGTGCCCATTTAGATCGAAGCCAGAACACCACAGCCCAAACCAGGAAGACGGGCATTGGGAAGCCAGTGGAACTTCTTTCCATAGCAAACTTCTATTCCTCCCATTCCACATGGAAATGTCACTAGAAACTCAGCCAGGGTCCACCAGCCACAAGGGGCAGAGGCCCATCCACAGCCGTGTCTGTGAGCCACACTGCCTCCCAGGGGCTCCGTTCAAAGGGAGCAGGGGGTACTTTCCAACAACCACAGTACCATTTTTCTCTAATCTTTCCATTATTTTTATTCACTCATTCATTTATTTTTAACATCGTGATAAAAAATATACATAAAATATGCCATTCCTTCCATTTCAAATTCAGTGGCATTAAGTACTTCCACAATGTTGTATAACCATCGCCACGGCCCATTTCTAGAACTCTTTCCTCATCTTAAACAGTTTCATCTTAAACTGAAACTCTGCGCCCATTAAACACTAACTTCCCATCCCCTCTCCCAGCCCCCGTCAACCACCTTCTACTTTCTGTCTCTATGAGCTTGACTAGTCTGTGGATGTGTGAAATTGGGTGATATTATCCTTTTCTGGGTGGCTTACTTCACTTAGTATAATATTTCAAGGTTCATCCATGTTGTGTACTATGTGTCAGAATTTCATTCCTTTTTAAGGAGCTTTATACATTTTAAAAAGTAGTTTTGCTGTATAATGAGGCCTTTCCTTTTTGTCATTCAGCATGCTTATTAAGAATTATCATATGTGCTGTGCTAAGTAGCATGAGACATACAAGTGAATTACCATCATCTCACCCCTCAAGCAGCTTACAGTCTAGTAGAATAAATGTGCTAGGGATGTCGATGGCAATAATACCATGTAGACTGGGCCAAGTGCCATAAAAAACATACACGACCCCTGGCCGGTTTGGCTCAGTGGATAGAGCGTCGGCCTGTGGACTCAAGGGTCCCAGGTTCGATTCTGGCCAAGGGCATGTGCTTTGGTTGCGGGCACATCCCCAGTAGGGACTGTGCAGGAGGCAGCTGATTGATGTTTCTCTCTCATCGATGTTTCTGGCTCTCTATCCCTCTCCCTTCCTCTCTGTAAAAAAGTCAATCAAATATATTAAAAAAAAAAAAAACAACAACATACACGAGGCCTCTGGAATCTGGTCAAGCATGAAATTACTTCTAGTCATGGGCCTTGAGAAGGTCTCACCGGGGAGAATTGGAGGGCCTGATTGGGTCTGGATGGGCAGAGAGGTCGTCAAAGGGAGTTCCCCATGAGTAAACGCCTTTTAACTCACTACAATCCATGAGCCAAGGTATGGAGCCGGGGAGGTAAAGGTCATATTTGGGGGACATGTTCAGGTTTAGACAAGTGTTTGGTATGCTCATGGAGATAACAGTAACTACAGCTATGAAAGAGGAGGCCGGGTCATGAGGGCCTGAGGATTAACCTTGCAGGCATTGAGAAGATGGGAACGATTTTTGAGCGACAGATAGCTGCCAATGGAGTTGACAGTTAAGGAAATGAATGAGTTCAGTGTAGAATGGAGTGGGGCCCGGAAGAGATCTGAGGCAGGGAGGACAGGTAGGTTATTTGACCAGGTGGGAGGTAATGAGTTCGTCCACAAATGATGGTGGCCGTGACCATAAAGAGGAATGGATGGGGTGCAGATTTTGAGGGTGGGTCAGCAGGTCCCACGGAGGTCATGGGAGAGAAGTCTTTGACTCCTGAGGTTCAGACCTTCCCAAAAGCCCTATCCCACTGAAGACAAGCATGATCCGAGTGAGGCGCAGGGTGCAGCCGCAGACGGGAAGGGCCGCCACAGCTGCGCCTCACATCTGTTTGTTGGTCTGTAAACTTTCTACTTGGCAAACCCGCTCTGTGCCTGAGATGGCTGGCCAGTTGTGCCCAGGATTTGGCTTTAAGAGTTCGTATTAGGAATCTGTATGCAAACTACCTCACAAGGCTCTAGGCCAGAATCAGAGCTGGACGATTTCTAAGTAGAGTCTGTGCCTGCTGCACCTGGGAGTCTTCATGCAATCAAGGCTGTGTCACAGTTTCCATTATGCGCATGGTGTCTCCTTCCACCCCCCAGAGGCTTAGAACTTAGCAGCGAAAATGTGCTTCCCCTGGGAACGGAGCAGGAAGATTATGTTCTTAGCCCAGCAGCAGTTCTAGTTCAAAAAAATGTTGACAAAATTGGTTTAGTGCATTTTGTAAGATGCAAATATTCATCTAATTCACTTCAAGTTTCTCGAGAACTATTTTTGTTTCATTTTCCCTTGAAGGCAGCTCGCAGAGAACTGGTGGGGAGCACATTTCATCAAACATCTACTCTGAATGGGATCTGAGTCACTTGTGCACTTTTTCCCCCAGAATTATAAAGCTTTGCTTAAATTTTAACTTTCCCCAAATGGCAACTATTTACATTGCTTTTTACATGGAATTTTAGCATGTTGGCAACAGACTTGAGAAATCTCATTTGGATTCCTTTCTTTAGATAAGTCCAAGAAGAAAGTATTGGCCTTGCTTTTACAGATGTAAAGGTTTAGAAAGAATTCCAAAACCTTAAACTACACCATTCTAAAGTTTGTCAAGTCTCGTTATCAGGCAGTTTTCCTTTAGTGTTCTGAGTCTGTTTCTTGGGTAGAGGTGGCCAGCTACTGACTGGCCCATTCTTCATCTCCTTGGAGCACCAGGCCCCTGCCTGCTTTGGCCGAGTGACCATGCTGGGGTGTGAACTATGTGAGCATCACACTTATGATCTCACGACATTACGTGATAACACCTGTTTAACTCACTACAGTCCTACTCTACAGACAAGGAAACTGAGACCAAGACACCTGAGATAATTGGCCCAAAGTTAATCTGCTCCAAATGACCTTCACGGCTGTGTCAGACCCCGGGCCAAGGATCTCCCCACTGCCATGCCTCCGCCCTCATCCCATGTTTGGTTGAACCCTAAGCCTTGTTGTCTATAAATATTCATGTTTGAATTGGCTGAACCTTTTTTTTTAGAAACAATAAGCCAGCCCCCTTGCTGTGCATTTGCTTCAGATCTTGGAGGATAATTTGCTCTGTTGCCCAAAGTAGCTCTGGAATTGTTTGGGCAGCCACTAGACCAGTGATGGCAAACCTTTTGAGCTCGGCGTGTCAGCATTTTGAAAAACCCTAACTTAACTCTGGCGCCGTGTCACATATAGAAATTTTTTGATATTTGCAACGATAGTAAAACAAAGACTTATATTTTTGATATTTATTTTATATATTTAAATGCCATTTAACCAAGAAAAATCAACCAAAAAAATGAGTTTGCGTGTCCCCTCTGACACGCGTGTCATAGGTTCGCCATCACTGCGACCTTTGCAGAGATGCCTTTCTAATAGAGCAATAGCCTGGGACTCTCCCTATGGTCCTTCTTAATGCGAATAGATTCTGTTTCTTATGGGTAGGAGATTGGTGAAACTAGCCATCTTCTGAAAGGGCTAGGCTCTGATGGGTTTTATGAGTTCGGGGGCAGTGTATAGAATTTGTTCTGCCGGTCATGTTTTAAGCCATAACATTATTTACTTACAGTCAAGAGTGGGTCCTATAATCTACTGCTGTGTAACAAGTTACCCCCAAAATTTAGTGGCTGAAAGCAGTAAACATTTATTATCTCACAGTTTCTGTGGGTTGGGAAGTTGGGAGCAGCTTATCTGGGTGGTTCTGGCTTAGGATATTTCTCGAGATCACACCCCACATGTCAGCCTAAGCTACAGCCATCTGACGGCTTGACTGGGCTGGGACTGCCTTCCCCGGTGGCATCACTCACATCACTATTGGCGAGCTAGTTTTGGTTTTTGGAATGACACCGCAGGTACCCACCAGGTGGTCCTCTCCATAGGGATGATGGATTTTATCACAACATGGCCGCTTGCTTTTTCCCAGAGCATGTGATCCAAGAGAGAGTAAAATAGAAGCCACATGCGTTTTATGACCTAGCCTCCAAAGCCGCACACGGTCATTTTCACAGTGAATGATTGCTCACACTGTGTGTCACCATCATCGTGGGAGGAGGCTACACTAGATGTGACTACCAAGGGGCAAGGCTCCCTGGGGCCAGCTTGGAGGCTGACTACCATGCACCACCGTTTTCCCCTTTGGTTGGGAGAAGCAGGAGAGGTGTGAAGGGGAGCATTAACGCTGGAAAAATAAAAAGGGATAAAAGGATATAGAGCAGGGGTGGGCAAACTTTTTGACTCGAGGGCCACAATGGGTTCTTAAACTGGACCAGAGGGCCGGAACAAAAGCATGGATGGAGTGTTTGTGTGAACTAATATAAATTCAAAGTAAACATCATTACATAAAAGGGTATGGTCTTTTTTTTTTTAGTTTTATTCATTTTAAACGGGCCGGATCCTGCCCGCGGGCCGTAGTTTGCCCACGGCTGATATAGAGCATAGCCCTGGTTGGTGTGGCTCAGTGGTTAAAGCGCTGGCCCACGGACCAAAGGGTTGTGGGTTCGATTCCTGGTCAAGGTCATGTACCACTCTCTCTAGAAATCAATGGAAAAAATACCCTCGGCTGAGGATTTTAAAGAAAAGGATATAGAGCATAAAACAACCCCCTACTTTCCCCCCTCCCCCCGCCCTTTTCTGGCTTCCGTGGCTGCTAACCATCGTTTTGCAGAAGTAGACCAAGGAGCATGGAAATGGGGTAAATAACATTAAATCAACAGGGCTTCTGGGGTTTATAAGTGATAATGACTCCTTTTCCTGCTAATGGGAGTTGGGAGCCAGTGGAGAGCAGACACAGTTGCTGCACTAATAGAGATCCGAATGTCCGCCTTGTTCCTGATTGTGTTGGACTGAACTTGTGGCCACAGTCTTCCCCTCCCTGTCTAGACCTTAGGACAACCTGCCCAAGGGAGAATTTGAGTGTGTAAAGCAGGTGAGCTTCCTTCGATTTGCCGCCTCGCCCCTGTCAAGCCCCAGTGTCAGGGACACAGAGAGGCCGCCTTGGAGACCCAAGTCCAGAAGGCAGGCCTAAGCCTGGCCACTCGAGCTGACAGCGTGACGGAGAGGCCGGGCACAGCCCCTGGGCCTGAGGCAGGCAGAGCAGAGAGCGCTGGCGCCATCAGTGTCCCCAGTCAAATCCACTCCTTTCCTCTTGAGAAAAGAGAAGGACAATACGCTTTTTCTTCTGTGCTATAAACGTTGGAGGGGGACAAGATGGCTCTCTGTCAAGGGCATTCATATAAACCAGTCCGGGTCATCCATTCAGCATAGCCAAACCGCCCATACCAAGTCTCTGCTTCACAGCGCACAGTTGTATTTTGAGTGGTTTTACAGACATTATCAACAACACCCATGCTGCTTCCCCTTCTGCTTGTGCACACCATTCTTGTCACTGCTTGCAATGGCCTTCCCTAAAATCTCTCTCTCTCTCTTCTAGGCACAGGGTGGTGGTGTCCTATCCTCCTCAGAGTGAGGCCGAACTTGAACTTAAGGAGGGAGATATTGTGTTTGTTCATAAAAAACGAGAGGACGGCTGGTTCAAAGGCACGTTGCAACGCAACGGAAAAACTGGCCTTTTCCCAGGAAGCTTTGTGGAGAACATCTGAGGAGACTCACCTTGGGAAGGCTTCAAATCCTATCACTCCACAAGATAGCACAGCGCGATGTCACAGGGAGAGCACATCGGTGGACTTCTGGGTGGCCGGGAGACGAGCGGAGGACGGGCGTGTGACCCCAGGGCCCCAACACATGTAGACCAGCAAGCGGCGTGACGAGAGCGTGGTTGTGGGTTTTGTCACTCTGGATTCGGATGTGGAAGGCGTGCCTTGTACTGTCTGATTGACTACAGAGAAACCTTTTTTTTTTTTTAAAGATATATAGCTAAAATGGACATTGTTTACAAGGCTTAACTAATTTATTTGCTGTTTTAAACTTGAATTTTTCTCGTTATAGATCAATTCTTTGGGTTATGATTTTAAGGAATTATTAATTTATGAAATGATAGCCAAGGAGAAGCTGGATTCTCTCCTGTTGAGAGCAAGAGATTCTTTTTAACAGAGAATGAACTCCCCCTTCCCCACACCGGTGTTTTTTTTCCTTTTTTTTTTTTTTGCTTTTGCTTTTTCAAGACAGAAATGCCAGTTCTCTGATTTGGTTTTCCTCTTCGGGAAACCAAAATGTGCAACTGAATCAGTACCAATAAGGGCCTGGGGTTGGGAGACAGAAACTTGAGAAAAGAGACGTTAACGATTGCTTGTCTTTCTGGTTTGATCAGGAATCGCCTTAAGACCTAGTCCTCGATTTAATTTTGTGGGTTTTTTTAATTTTCCAAGAGTGAAAGCAATGAAGCGATAAGGAAGAGTAAAGCACAACCCTTGAACAACAAAAAAAAATGTATTCAGAAATCAATTTAGTTTTATAATGAAGCAGCTCGATTTCATTGGTTGGCAATTGGAAAATCTGAAGTTGGACTCCTGTCTGAGAATGGCTGTGAAATGTTGTGTGCCCGTTTTACCTTAAGTGGTCTGCATGCCCAGGACACAGTAAAGCGTTTGTGAGATAGTGGTGGTCCGTGATGCACTCGTGCGGAAGTCAGTGGCTATGAGAAACACTGTGAAACGTTTACATACACCCATCGTGAGTCCTTTCCCACGTGTGCATGTGGCTGGGTGGGTTCCCACAGTAATGTCTGCTGTGCATGGTCTGTATATTTCATTGCAATTTCCTGTCGAGGTGAGTTTGTGCTCGGAATTGACCGATGCAGGAGCTGGAAAATAAACAGTACTCTTTTCTCTACCCCAAAGCCACTACTGACCAATTTCTCTGAGTACACTCCCTCTCTCCCTGGCCAAGGTGTCCGTCAGCCATGACGCAAGTGATTAGTGAAAATGGTCCTTTATCTGTGCTCCCAGCTGCGGAGGGATGTCAGGGGTGAGCCAGGAGGCCGCTGCTCTCACTGTTCTCTCGCAGCCCTGGGAGGCTTGGCCGAGGGAGGGTGCCCACACCTTACAATTGTGGCGGGATCCAGCTGAGCCTGTCTTTTTATATCCGTTCTTTGATGTCATCGGCCTCTTCTACCCATTTCATTCCCGTGCCACGCAGTCGTGGGGCTGAGTAGTCCTAAAAAACAAAACAAAAGGAGGGAAGACAGCCTGGGAGTGAATGAAATCATTGCCACAGTTTCCTCATGAGCAAACAAACACAAAAACCTTTTTATTTCTTACTTTTAAGAATTACAACTGGGAAATAGAAACACGAACAGAAAAGTCTTCTTGCAACAGCAGGAGGTTTCATGGTCTTAAAAAGATATACGATGTGGTTGAAATGAAATCATTCCTAAATTAACCATTTTTTTTATAAGACACTGTACATTATGTTCCTGTGTGTTGAATTTTTTAAAAAATACTTTACTTGGATATTCATGTAATATATAAAGGTTTGGTGAGATGAACTTTAGTTAGGAAAAAAAAAGCTGTCATCAGCTTTCATCTGTGTAAGTTGACACCAATGTGTCATAATATTCTTTATTTTGGGAAATTAGTGTATTTTATAAAAATTTTAAAAAGTAAAAAGACTACTACAGGTTAAGATAATTTTTTTACCTGTCTTTTCTCCATATTTTAAGCTATGTGGTTGAAGTACCTCTGTTAATAGTTTCCTGGTATGAAGTTGGTTAAAATTTCATCTGTTAATAGATCACTTAGATAATATAATGTATGGGTTTTTCTATTGGTTTTGGGGGGCGACAATAGCTGGAGATTTTGTAACAAGGGCTTGTTACACGTTGGTAGGGTGATGATTAAATTGCCATTTATCATGTTAATAATTTGAAGACTGGAGAAAAGGTTCAAGATTAAAATTTGATGTTCATCCTTTACATGCCCCTTGTGTCAGTCCTTAAAATTCTTCTCTTTTTTCTTTTTTTATCTGGGACATATTTTACTTAGTTTCTACTTCATGCAAGATTCTTTGCATGCACCTCAAACAGAAAATGTCTACAATAATCGTTTTGGTGGTTTTACTACATTTTACCTCTCCAACTAACAAACGTTCTTTGGTTAGTTCCCCCAGGAAGTGTAAAGTCTTCTTAGAGCTTGTGGAGTTTCACCAAGTGTAATCCTTCTGCTCCCTTCCCCTTGCTATGGTGACTGCATAGTCTGGGCCGCTCGCAGCCTTGTCTTAGCCATAGAAAGAGCGCCAGACCTGCAAGCAACTGTGTGGTAACCCGTGGGCCTCAGCAAGACCTGGGAACATAACGTGTGATTTTAATCTTTCATGGAATGCCAACAAGTCGTAAGGTTAGAAGGGCCATGTATGTCATTAGAATATATTTTCCTCTTTTAACTTTCAGTTTCTATCAAATTACTTATCAGAATGAAAAATCGGGAATTCTAGGTTGTATCATAGCTTTGCCAAAACATCTCTCTTTGTAACCGCTTGGACAAGTCAATTATTATTTAGTTTCTTCCGGTTGGTGCTCTGTGTACCTCCCTGGGTGAAGATGAGCAAAGGAGACAATGTCACTGTTTTTGAAAAGTGCTATTTTAATATGTGGCCTTACTTTGATCTCTGGTTTCAAATATTTCATCTCCCTCCCTTGGACTATATGCATATAATGCCTTTACTGGGGTCTAATTGGATTTAGAAGGAACAAAGTAAGGTGATGTTTCCAGCTGCTATGCATTTAGTTTTCTGTTCATAATGATAATAAGACTTTTTCATGCCTCTGTAAGTTCAGGTGACTATTTAATTCCAGAACTCTAATCATTAGAATTCAAGCTTAGAACATGCTTTTAATACACCAAGTTGTACAGCTCATTGTGTGTATCCATGTAAGTTTTTACAAATATGTTTTCAACCAGTTAAACGATGTCCTTACCAAGGTAGCATCCTATTGAAATGACTCCTTTCCAGGAAAAAGAATTTGCCAACCTACCACAGTAATTGAGAGGATATTTACAGAAGAGATTAGCCAGTGTCCAGGCTTAGCAGGGTCTCACCCCTCACTCCCTCCTGTGAGCTCCTGGCTGGAGTGGCTGTGCTGGGGGGAGGGGAAGGGGGGGCTTTGCTTCTTCCTGGCAGTCAATCACCTGGGACAGGACAGCTCTTCGAGTGGAAACCAACCATTGTGAAGCGTGACAGTGTAAAATACCCTCCCTCTGGTTTACAAATGAACGTTTCTCTTGTGTTTCCTATTAATAACTGTCTGGCGTGGCTCTTTCCATTTAAAAGCACCACCTTGATTTCACTGAATGCAAATTCTTATTGTACTGCAACGACCCAGATCCCCAGGAACCAGGTTGAAGGGACCTGCAGCCAGTGGCATTAATCTTTGAGCCGTCATCCAGTACTATTATTATTGGGTCAGACCACTTTTAGCCTTAATGCCAACCCTCTCAATATAGCTGTTGTAGGCAAGAGAGGCAACAAAACAACAACAACTAAGACTTCCTTCACAGAGCAAAGTGTGTGCGCAAGTGAGATGTAAAATTCTGAGTCCTTGTGGCACTATGGCTAGAGGCTTTCTCCAGCCCTTTCTGCAGATTCTCAAGCTTGGCTTTCCAGAAATCCAGTTATTTTTGAAAGTGGAGTCTCTGAGAGAGACTGTTGAAGATCATTAGATCACAACACCTAATTGATAAGGCTAACTGTCTAATAATAGTTGTAAATTTATCTTTGATTGCTATTTCAATGTTTGGACTCTCTGAATATATACTATGTTATGAGAGCATAGAGCAGTGGTTCTCAACCTTCTGGCCCTTTAAATACAGTTCCTCATGTTGTGACCCAACCATAAAATTATTTTCGTTGCTACTTCATAACTGTAATGTTGCTACTGTTATGAATCGTAATGTGAATATCTGATATGCAGGATGGCCTTAGGCGACCCCTGTGAAAGGGTCGTTTGACCGCCAAAGGGGTCGCGACCCACAGGTTGAGAACTGCTGGCATAGAGTATAGGGAAATAAACTTCATCAGTACCTGTTATGTAGAGCAGTGCTGTCCAGTAGAACTTCTGCTCTGGAAAGCGGTGGAAATGTTTTAGATCTGCGCTCTCCATTCTGGTAGCCACTAGCCCATGTGCCTCTTAACCCTTGAAAGGTGGCTATGGTGACTGAGGAACTGAACCTCTCATTTGATTTCATTTTAATTAAAATTTATAAATATTTATATGCATATAAATGGCTACCATGTGAGACACTGCAGTTTTAGAGAATAAAAACCTATTGTTAAATGAGTATCCAGAAAAGGGGATAAAGGAAAAGCTACACTCTACCCACCCTCTGCTTTGGAGGCACCAACTTATAAGTTAAAGCACACAGAACTTGATTGTGTTAGAAACCCACCCAAAATAATGTGAAAACATCTTAACTTTGAGTAGTACAAATTATTTCTTTAATTTTTTTAAATATTTTTTTTTATTGATTTCAGGGAGGAAGGGAGAGGGGGAGAGAGAGCTAGAAACATCAGTGATGAGAGAGAATCCTTGATTGGCTGCATCCTGCCATCCTACTGAGGATCGAGCCCACAACCCAGCATGTGCCCTTAACCAGAATCAAACCCAGGACCCTTCAGTCCTCAGGCCAACGACCTATCCACTGAGCCAAACCAGCGAGGGCTAGTTCTTTAATTTTGATAGTTTCTTCCTTCCTCTGCTCTACCCCCTCACCGCCCCCCCCCAAAAAAAGATGAAGCTAAAGATTAGATTCAATAAGAAAATTGGGGGATTTTGCCAGAGCCTTGTGGTGTGGCTGGTGGCCCAGTGCTTTCTATGCAAGCAGAGACTCTGTAAGTCCTCAAAGGCCAGGTCTCATCTTGTTGTAACTTTCACCGTGATCTTGAATCCACTAAGGATCACCCCAATAAACACAGGACTCCCAAAGCTGTTCAGATGATTGGATGATGTGTCTACTGTGATCTTAATGAGCATTGTCTCCGCAGATGGAGTTGGGGTTAATAGAGGGGGAGGGGGAGGGGAGGGAGGAATGCTCACCCAGGAATTAAACATGAAATGCCACCTCTGAAACAAACGCCATGCTCCTTATTCCCCAACCCCTGAGCAAGGTCAGTTCAAGTGAAGGCCAGCGCCTTATCTTTCCAATCACATCCATTTCATTTCTTTGGCTGGCGAAAATTGAAAGCTTAATGGAATTACCTTTTCCCTTTTTTTAAGCACTCTAGGGTGCTACAAGACATAAAGCAAAAACGTCCCTTTGAGTAAAACCAATTTCCTTATAAATTATATCACAAAGGCACACTCAATAAGCTCCCTAAAGGCAGAGACAAAGTCAAGACCGATGCTTGGCTGCCAGCTCACTCCTTAATACACGCTAATTCAATCATCACCTGCGTCTCCATTGTAACACCCCCACCCCCTTTCCGGTTTTCCTTTAACAAAGGTTTAATAAGTTCTGTAAAGAAATGATGCTGATTGAGAATCCTGATTTTTATTTTGGGGGGGGTGTGTGGATTTTGTGGGGAAAAGTCCTTTTTATATTTTAGAAGATACCAGATGATAGCACCACCGAATCTTGCGGGTCTTTTGTGTGACACATGGGTGGCTTTAAACCACTCCTTATCCAGTGAGACCCTCTTGGTTGTGCAGATCCTCTGTGTACAGTAAAAGAAGATGAACATAGCCCGGCCAGCATGGCTCAGTGGTTGAGCATCAACCTATGAACCAGGTCACAGTTCGATTCCTGGTCAGGGCACATGCCCAGGGAGTGGGCACAATCCCCAGGAGGGGGCGTGCACAGGGCAGCCGATCAATGATTCTCTCTCATCATTGATGTTTCTATCTCTCTCTGCTTCTCTGAAATCAATAAAAACACTTTAAAAAAAGTAAAATAAGATGGACATAGAGAATAACTTGAGACATGGTGCTTAAAAGTGGCTCGTATATTATGTAGACCCCACAACGCTCAAGCAGCCAAGCCCACGCACCTGCTAGGACACAAGTCTGAGGACTGGTTCCTCCATTCCTTCTGGAAGGAAGAGCTGGGCCCTCGCAGACAGGAGGGACTGTGGAAAGCCGCCCGCTCCCTCTCTTCCTCTGGCCACCATGGCACTGGGGCCATCTCCATATATAGCCCACACGGCTCATTCTGGGATAGCAATTGTGGATTCCTGTGATGTGGTGATGGTTGCAGAAATCAAAGCGGGGCTTGAATTTCTACTCTTTAAGCTGAAATGTTCTTTCCTGTGATTTATTTACCCACCAAGACAGATGTGTGGCATTGGCAGATTATCAAGTCGGCAGCCCCTATAATAAAACCGAAGCAAGTGAAGCTTTCAAGAAGAAAGAAGGTCGCAAAAGAAATGCTGCACCAAAGCAAAGCTGTAATAATCTCTCCGCCATCTGCCTTCACCGTGGCTGAGGCATGGAGAAAGCAGACCCAGAACTTGCAGCATCAGACATTAACCTTGGATTCTGAGTTCAATTCTGTTCCTCACCCTGGGATTCTGTTCCTCACCCTGGAGAAGGCCTTTTTTCTTTCCTTAAGAAAAACTGTGTTTGGGATTATTTCTTTCTCATCTCACTGCCTGTCTCTGTGTCTGTCTCCATCTCTGCCGGCCCCTACCCTTCTCCACCCCCTGCCCCTGCCCCACTCTTTTCAGTGTTGGTGTTGGGTAATGGAGGTTGGTGTCTAGTGGAATAGTCCATGAACAAGTGTCCTCAGCGAGAAATGGCCTACCAACTACTCCCCTTCAGTCCATCTGAAGAGCCATTGAGATTTTTGTTGTTGTTTGTGCCTTTTCTCTCTTTAGTTTTGTTTTATCAAGTCGTTATCAGCGTCTGGGAAGACAGCACAGCTGAATCAGAGGGGAAAATGACTTAAATGATTCCATTTTCAACTCGGATTCTGACGGAGCTGA